TTTCTCATGGTGGATTGTTTTCTCAAGTGTTTTAACATTTGTGATTTTGAATTGCTCCTCTGAAGAGCTTTATCTCTGGATATCATATGGGACCTGGGAAGAAGGTTTATCTTTTTAGATAGATTTCATTTATTTGTTTCTACCAGGAGCCCCGGGTACTAACCTAAGACTAACCTATGTGTCATCTTCTCAACTTGGGAGTCCCTGGACCATGTGCCAGTGTCCATTTGAAACCGAAACCTGCATGAGTATGGGCCCATGGCTATACAAATTCTAGAAAAAGACTTCATTTTCCCCATCACCAAAACCGATGGAGATAGACAAGCTCCTTTTCTTCTACGTTGGTGGCTGGAATTCTTCCTGGTCCACCCTTTGGAAGGTTTTCCTTCACATATTAGCTTTATGTAGGGTCTTATCTAGCTCTCTGCCTGCGTCAGGCCCAGAGCCTCATTTCATGCTCTTGCAGAGCTCGGCCTCAAGCCCAGAAGGTACGTGGATTCACTAAACCTGTAGGCTGGCACCACTTCCTGCTCATGGGGATCCTTGATCCTTGGAGATACCCATTATTCTGTCATATTTAACATGTAATATTTAACATGGCATTTAAATATATTTCACAGTGGGCAGATTTTCAGGTTATCTGGTAAAAAAAAACCCAACAAGCTGGAAGTGGAAATCCTTAAGTACCTTTTCTACTCTATTGTATGAATTCTGCCTCTACTACCATTTTCTTCCTCAGGAGCATTCATCCTCCTCTCCTGGGTGGTAGAGGGAGTGGTAGAGCGTGAAGCATGTGTGTGGGGAGTGGGGAGGTTGGGATGGGATGGTCTCCCAGAGTCTTAGGCCAAGTGGGAATCATACATGAGAAGCAGTGAGGTGAGCTTCCTTACCTGCATGTGCCTGAGTCTGCCTACCATGGCTCCTGGAACCCCACCCTGAGAGCGTCACCTTCCTCCTCTGTTTTATCAGCTTCGTGTTTCAGCAGGAATGGGTTTAGCAGATGAGGTGGAGAATACGGCTCTTAGGAATGGAGACTGGGAAGAAGGATTGGGGTATATGTGTGTGGTGTGTATGTGGTGCATGCATGTATGTGTGAATGTGATATGTGTGCGTGGTGTGTGTGGTGTTGTATGTATGTGGTAGGTGTGTATATGTGCATGTGGTGGTGTGTGGTGTGTGTGGTGTATGTGATGTGTGTGTGATGTGTGTGGATGTGTGTGGTGTGTGTGGTGCATATGGGTGTGGTGTGTGTGTATGTGTGTGGTGTGTGTGTATGTGTGGTATATGTGGGATGTGTGTGTATTATAATGTATGTGGTGTGTGTGTACGTATACAGTATGTGTATGTGTGGTGTAGTGTGTGTATGCTGTGTGTGTGATATGTGCATGTGTTGTGTGTATGTGTGGTATATGTGTGTGTATGGTTTGTGTGGTATGTGTGTATGTGGTATGTATGTGTGTGATATGTGTGTATGTATGTTGTGCGTATGGTGTGTGCATATGTGTGGTGTGTGATATGCATATGTGTATGTATGTGTGGTGTGTGTATGTGTCTGGTATGCGTGTATGGTATGTGTAGGTCGTATGTATGGGGTGTGTGTGGTGTGGTAGGTGTATGGTGTGTGTATGTGGTGTGTGTGTATGTATGCGGCATGTGTGTGTATATGGTATACGTGTATGGTTTGTGTGTGTGTATGGTATGTATGCTGTGTGTGGTGTGTGTATGTATGTGGTGTGAGTGTGTGTGGTATGTATGGTATGTACATGCATATGGTGTGTGTGTAGTGTGGGTAGTGTATGTGCTGTGTATGTGATATTGTGTGGGTATGTGTGTGCTGTGGTGTGTGTATGTGTGCATATGTGATATGTGTATATGTGGTGTGTGTGTTTGTATGTGCATGTGGGGTATGTGTGTGTACTGCAAATAATGTGTGTGTGTGGTGTGTGTGTATGGTGTATGTGTGTGTTGTATGTGGTGATATGTGTGTATGAGGTATGTGTGCATGTGTGCTATACATGGTGTGTGTAAGGTATGTGTTGTGTGTCGGGTGTGTGGTGTGTGTATGGTGTATGTATGTGCATGGGGTGGTGTGTGTGGTGTGGGTAGTGTGTGTGGTGTGTATGTGATGTGTGGGTATGTGTGCGGTGTATGTCATGTGTGGTGTGTGGGTGGTGTTGTGCATGTGTGGTGTGTTGTGTGTATATGTGTGTATGTGGTATGTGTATATGCACGTGGGTTGTGTGTGTTGTGTGTATATGTGTATGTGGTGCAGGTGGTGTGTGTGAATGGTGTATGTGATATGTGTGTGTGGTGTGTGTATGGTGTGTGTACATGCATGTGGGGTGTGTGTTTGGTGTCAGGTGTGTGTATGTGTGGGTATATATGTATGTGTGCGGGTGTGGCGTGTGTGTGTATTTGTGCATGTTGTGGTGTATGTGTTTGTGTGGTGTGGGTAGCATATGTGGTGTGTGTGTGATGTTGTGTGGGTATGTGTGTGTGGTGTGGTGTGTGGTGTGTGTGTATGGTGTATGTGATATGTGTGTGTGTGTGGTGTGTATGGAATGTGTACATGCATGTGGGGTCTGTGTTGTGTGTCAGATGTATGTATGTGGTGTGTGTGGGTGTGGTATGTGTACGTATGTGTGTGGTGTGGGGTGTGTGTAAGTGCATGGTGTATGTGATGTGTGTGTATGTGTGTGGTGTGGGGGGCTGTGTATATGTGTGATGTGTGTAGTGTGTGTGATATGTGTGGTGTGTGTATAATATGTGGATGTGTATGGTGTGGGGGGCTGTGTATGCGTGTGCTGTGTGGATGTGTGTGATGTGCGTGGTGTGTGATGTGTGTGGATGTATGTGGTGTGGGGGGGCTGTATACATGTGTGGTGTGTGTGGATATGCATGGTGTGCGTGATGTGTGTGGACGTGTGTGGTCTGTGTGGATGTGTGTGATGTACGTGATATGTGTGGTGTGTGTGGTGTGTGTGGATGTGTGTGGTGTGTGTGGATGTGTGTGGTGTGTGTGGGTGTGTGTGGTGTGTGTGATGTGTGTGGTGTGTGTGGTGTGTGTGATGTGTGTGGTGTGTGTGGTGTGTGTGGTGTGTGTGGATTTGTGTGATGTATGTGGATTTGTGTGGTATATGTGGATTTGTGTGGTGTGTGTTATGTGTGTGATGTATGTGATGTGTGTGGTGTGTGTGGTGTGTGTGATGTGTGTGGATGTGTGTGGTGTGTGTGATGTATGTGGATGTGTGTGGTGTGTGTGATGTATGTGATGTGTGCAGTGTGTGTTGTGTGTGTGGTGTGTGTGATGTATGTGGATTTGTGTGGTGTGTGTGATGTGTATGATGTATGTGATGTGTGTGGTGTGTGTGATGTATGTGATATGTGTGGTGTGTGTGGTGTGTGTGGTGTATGTGATGCGTGTGGAGTGTGTGGATATGTGTGGTGTGTGTGGATGTGTGTGGTGTGTGTGGACATGTGTGATGTGTGTGGTGTGTGTGATGTGTGTGGTGTGTGTGATATGTGTGTGATGTGTGTGTGATGTGTGTGATGTGTGTGGATGTGTGTGTTGTGTGTGGACGTGTGTGGTCTGTGTGGATGTGTGTGATGTGTGTGTTGTGTGTGATATGTGTGTGATGTGTGTAGATGTGTGTGATGTGTGTGATGTGTGTGGTGTGTGTGGATGTGTGTGGTGTGTGTGATGTGTGATGTGTGTGGATGTGTGTGGATGTGTGTGGTCTGTGTGATGTGTATGACGTGTGTAGTGTGTGTGATGTGTGTGGTGTGTGTGGATGTGTGTGGTGTGTGTGGATGTGTGTGGTGTGTGTGATGTGTATGACGTGTGTAATGTGTGTGACGTGTGTGATATGTGTATGGTGTGTGTATATGTGTGTGGTGTGGGGGGCTGTGTATGTGTGTGACATGTGTGATGTGTGTGATGCGTGTGATGTGTGTGGTGTGTGTGCTGTGTGTGATGTTTGTGGTGTGGAGGGGCTGTGTATGTGTGTGTTGTGTGTGATGTGTGTGACGTGTGTGATGTGTGTGGTGTGTGTGGTGTGTGTAGTGTGTGTGATGTATGTGGTATGCATGATGTGTGTGGAGTGTGTGGATGTGTGTGGTGTGTGTGGTGTGTGTGCTGTGTGTGATGTGTGTGATGTGTGTGCTGTGTGTGGTGTGTGTGATGTGTGTGGTGTGTGTGGATGTTTATAGTGTGTGTGGTTTGTGTGATGTGTGTGTGATGTGTGTGTGTGAGTGTGTGGTGTGGGGGGCCATGTGTGTGTGTTTGTGGTGTGTGTGATGTGTGTGGAGTGTGTGATGTGTGTGGAGTGTGTGATGTGTGTGGATGTGTGTGGATGTTTGTAGTGTGTGTGGTGTGTGTGATGTGTGTGGTGTGTGTGCATGGTGTGTGAGGTCAGGGCCGTGTCAGGCACCAGCAGTGGGTGGAGGAGTGTCCCGGGGAGGCCGAGAATGGAACCACCCCGGCCATCATTTTACAAAGGCCTGGGCTTGGGAGCAGGCCCCTCATCTAGCTTGTCCGTGACCGCTAGCCAGGATTCAAAGGGCCTATTGTTGGGGCCAGGCCTGCATCCTTCATACCTTAGCGTGCACAGGAAGCATCCGTTCTCTTCTTTCTCCAAACACAGCGGCTCATTTGGCTCAGGTTGAGGTGTTTTTCCAAACTTCGCCGGTGTCTGGCTTTGGCAGCCGGATCCAGAGGCTGTGTTGATCAGGTCTGAGCTCTTCCCTGGCCTGGACCAGCCTGCCAGGGGACAACCAGCATTCCCGGTCATCCCCTGTCTGTGCGGAGCCCTCCGTGTGGGGAGGACCTGGGCTGTGGGTTGGGGGGCGTAGGGAGGGCAAGGCAGCTCATTATGGCAGCTGTGCGAGGTCTCCCACCAAACTCTTCAAAGCCTTATCGGCCTGGAGGTATTTCTAATACCATTTCCGCTCATTGTTTCCTTGTGGTCATTAACAGGAGGCCAATCCCCTGCTGGGGCAGCTCAGGGCTATTGTGGTGGGAAAGGAGGGGGGTTGGTGGACGTCACGACTTGGGCTCTATCTTCCCCTGGCCGCAGGAGTGCAGCCCCTGGGGCACTTAGCAGCAAGACAGCCCAGAGCTGCGGCGGTCCCTTCGGCCTCGGCTGCCCGGGAGCATGGCCTAGGCAGGCGGCACCGTTGTGCGGCGCTGAGCTTCCCGACGGACCCTGGAGATACCTGCTGCCCCCGCTTGCAGGGAAAGGTCTGGTCTTTCCGGGAGCAGGGCTGGCTCTGTTGTGCGAGGAAGATCAGGATGGCTCCCTGCCCCTGGGGAAGGGGGTGGTCCTCTGTCCCGGGGCTAGAAGGACTCGTTTGGAGGGTGACTTAAAGCCAGGGACCATCCGAAGGCTTGCTCTCCACTTGTCGCTGGGGAGTTCTGTGGCTGCTTCTGTTCACACCTGGCTTTTCTGCGTGTAATACTTGACGAGGCGAGCCTGCAGTGAGTTTTGCCCTCACCTCTGGCTGTGTTCTGGGAGCAGCCTGATGTACCTGAGTGTTGGGAGCTTGTAGAGGGTCACCTGCTCTGAGACCGAGATGTGGCCATATCTGACACTGAAGTGTCCCTCCCGCAGATATATGACAGATTGGGTTTGTCTCTCCTGGGTTGGATGAGGCATTGGGCAGGAAAGGAGTCACCCCCAGGGAATCTCAGGTGATAGATTCTGTTCCTGTTTAACAATGTTTTCAAGAGGAGAGGGGCTGTAAGGGATTGGGGTGTGCTCTCCAGCCAGAGTCAATTGTCACTCTCTGGAGGGGTGCACACTATGGGGAGCCTTGCCCTGGCCTGGGGCTACTGAACTCCCGTCCATTCATCAGCTCATTGCCTGAGCAGCTCCTGGGGGCTGTCACTATGCCACGTGCTCATGGTGTAGTGCTGGGGACTGACCAGCAAACGTGGCTGTCGAGCATTCTCGAAGTCTGGGTGCCTGTGATAGGAACAGAAGCATACAATAGCTCCTTCTCCCCAGTTTGCTGCCAGGCATGGAAAGATGAAGAGGCAGGGGGGAATTGGGTGCATGTCAGCTCCTAGCTGGTGCAGGGGTGCCAGGCTGGCCTGGAGGCATATAGAGGAGAAAGCAGAACTTTCCTCCTCTGCCTGGGCTCTGGGACGGCTGTTTGGGGAAGGGCGCTTGGGGTCTGGCTCACAGTGATTGTTACTCTTGGGCCTGGTCCTGGCTGGGAACTTTTTTTGGGGACCAGCACTCCATGTTCAAGGCAAACAGGGGCCAGTGAGGATCAATCTTTTCTCTTGCTTTAAACAAAAATAAGTTCTTCCCACTTCGCACATGGACCGTAGTGCATACCCGTAGCTATCTGTGAGGGCAGTGATCAGTGATCATTTCCCCTGCTTCTCTGCAGATGATTCCTGCCAGACTTGTGAGCGTGCTGCTGGCTCTGGCCCTCACCTTGCCAGGTAGGTACCAAACTGCTTCTATTCTTTACTCCTGCCTCAGGGTCATTTGGAAAAACTCCCTTTCAGGAATCAGTGGGTGTGTCTGGAGCTCACCTGTGTGCCCAGTCCCATGTTAGGCTTGTGTTGGGCCCGCCAGAGTGACTGGTTCATACCCCTTGTGAAGCTTCTTCAGAGCCCCCTGCCCCTGGCTTGTATTCCTCAAGGAGCAGGTGCCTGCAAATGCCAATCTGATTGGACGATTAAGAAGCACAAGGGCCACCCAGAGCAGTCCTCTGCGATGGGGCTGCAGGATGGGGAAGAAGGAATCCAAGAATTGGGTAGAGACTGCAGAGGTCATCTAGTTGAACCTCTCAGAGTACAGACGAAGAGACTGACGGTCAGAGGGGAAAAACAAATGCTCCAAAGTCACATAAAGCAAAGATCAGAGGTCAGTTCTCCTGGGTCTCAGGCTACTACTCTTTCACTGGACTTCATGGCCTACCTTCCCTTGCTGAGATACTGAGTCTGTGAATGGCAAGAGGGACCTTTTTCTGGCCCTGGCTTGTCCCCACTTAGACCACTCTGGCCAGCAACATCCAGCCTGCTGCTCACAGTGTAGTCTGGGGGGAAATGTACATTTTTCATACACTCTACATCTTCCTACTAGGTGGGTCCTAAGCCAGTGGACCCAGAAAACTTAGTAGAAGTTTTACTAGAAATTTACCACTAGAAATTTACTACTGTGGTGCCCCATCTGACCACACACACACATACACACAGACACACACACAATGGGAAGGTGGCAGGAGGGTCTCCTGGGAGTTAGCATATGGCTCTCGAGAAGCTAAGGCTTCATAGATTCTATGTGTTGGACACACAGGCTAATTTGTTTGAATGTAAACTGTTCAAGATATACCAGTATATTAATGCATAAGGTTGCTCCTTGCAATCTATTTATATGTTAAAAAATTTGGAAAAATGCTAAGAACCTAATAGTAGGGGGTTATACTGTATACATTTAGATGCAACATATAGTCATTACAAATCATGTTTTGCAAGTATACACAACGGTATGATAAATTCTTTATAATACATTGAGAAATAGGTTATAAATAGTTTGTATAGGATGATCACAAATTCATAAAAAATCTATAATTGTACATATGCTGTGAAATAGAACAGAAAGATAAAACCAAAATGCTGACTCTAATTATTGCTGAATGTTGCTTACAGATGATTTTACCCTGTTTGTGTTTTTCTTCTGTATTCTCCAAATTTTCTCTGATAAGCACGTATTACATTTTAAATCAGTAAGTAAATGTCACTAAAACAAACAGATCCTGAAAAACTGTCCCTCTATTATTTCTATGAGTCCTGGGTCATTTTTGAGGTCCAAAAGCAACAACTTGAGCCTTGTTTAGGATGGAAAGTCCTTCTCTACAGTCAAATTTTTATCAGCCACAGGCTCATTTCTACAAAGCTGGAGTGGTTTGGGCTGACGGTCCTAGCTCTGCTCACCTGTAGTCTCTCCCTCCAGGGACCCTTTGTACAAAAGGGACTGTTGGCAGGTCATCGATGGCCCGATGCAGCCTCTTTGGAGGCGACTTCATCAACACCTTTGATGAGAGCATGTACAGCTTTGTGGGAGATTGCAGTTACCTCCTGGCTGGGGACTGCCAGAAACATTCCTTCTCACTTATCGGTGAGTCCGGGGCACTGAAGGGAGGGATTCAGAGCATGTGCGAGCTAAGCTCAACCCCAGTGCAGGTGGGGGTTGTGGGGGTATTCTTATGACAGTGCCTGAGCTTACAGATTCCTGGGGAAGCATGGATGGGAATGGCCTTTCCGTGACCAAGAAGCTGCCCACCCCCTCCAGGTCTCTCTCTTGGGAGCCTGATGGGGTGGAGAGAGTCTTCATGCTTTTCCAGCGGTTGTGTGCATTGCTCTGGGTCCAGGCAGCACTCTGGGAGCTCCAAAGTATCAAGAAAAATGATGAACCAGAAGACGCTTTGTAACACACAGAGCTCCTGGCAAACGGGAGGGGCCGTTGCTATGTTCTTGGTGGAATTCAGGGTACCTAGCGGATGTTGAGCACCTCGTGTGCTCCTGGAGGAGTGCTGGTATTTTGCTGGTATTTATCTCTGTGCCCCACAGTGGCTCTGAGATGTGCATATGGGTGTAGCCACCCCGTTTTACAAATGAAGAGCTGAGCCCAAGGAGTTGGTATGATCCTGCCAAGGGTTGACAGTTAATAAAAGGTCCAGCTGGATTGTGATCCCGGGCTTGTCAGGATGCGGGAACGTTCCTCTGCACTAAGGAGAGAGGGCGCTCTCCAAGGCTGGGAGGGGGGCTGGAGGCGGTGATGGGAGATGTGGTTCGGTGACCTTCACACTCTGAGAATGAGTCAGATGTGTGTGATGTGTGAGTGAGGATGCTACAAAACCTCGCAAAGACGGGGTTCGCAGCCTTGAGGAGATGGCGTGGCAATGGACAGACCCACATTGTTAAAGCACAATTTTTCATGACACTTGGCAAAGACAGTCAGGAAGGCTTTTTTCAAGAGGAACCACGGCCATGGTGGGGGGGTATGCTTGTAGTAGGGGAGAAACATGGGGCTTCATGCCAAATATCAAAAGGCCAAGTGGGGATTTATAGCCAATGAGCCGGGTGGGGGTCAGTGGATGGAAAATTACCGAGGGCAACACATCAGGGATAACATCCGGCTAAGCCCACTTGACAGGGGTTTGCTGAAGGCAGGCCAGGGTGATAAGACATAGAGGGAGGAGTGTGAGGAATTGGTCAGATATTGAGGATAGGGGATTTTCGATAAACTGACCCCACAAGATTCTTTTTTAAAAAATTTTTTTATTGTTATGTTAATCACCATACATTACATCATTAGTTTTTCATGTAGTGTTCCATGATTCATTGTTTGCGTATAACACCCAGTGCTCCATGCAGAGCGTGCCCTCTTTAATACACGTCACCAGGCTAACCCATCCTCCCACCCCCCCTCCCCTCTAGAACCCTCAGTTTGTTTTTCAGAGTCCATCGTCTCTCATGGTTTGTCTCCCCCTCTGATTTCCACCCCTTCATTCTTCCCCTCCTGCTATTTTCTTCTTCTTTTTTTTTTTAACATATAATGTATTATTTGTTCCAGAGGTACAGGTCTGTGATTCATCAGTCTTACACAATTCACAGCACTCACCATAGCACATACCCTCCCCAGTGGCTATCACCCAGGCATCCGATCCCTCCCACCCCCCACCACTCCAGCAACACTCAGTTTGTTTCCTGAGATTAAGAATTCCTCATATCAATGAGGTCATATGATATATGTCTTTCTCTGATTGACTTATTTCTAAAGATTTATTTATTTATTTATTTATTTATTTATTTATTTGAGAGAGAGAATGAGAGAGAGAGAGCACATGAGAGGGGGAAGGGTCAGAGGGAGAAGCAGACTCCCTGCCGAGCAGGGAGCCCGATGCGGGACTTGATCCAGGGACTCCAGGATCATGACCTGAGCCGAAGGCAGTCGCTTAACCAACTGAGCCACCCAGGCGCCCTCTTATTGACTTACTTCGCTCAGCATAACACCCTCCAGTTCCATCCACGTCGTTGCAAATGGCAAGATCTCATCCCTTTTGATGGCTGCATAATATTCCATTGTATATATATACCACATCTTCTTTATCCATTCATCTGTCGATGGACATCTTGGCTCTTTCCACAGTTTGGCTATTGTGGACATTGCTGCTATAAACATCGGGGTGCACGTACCCCTTCGGATCCCTACTTTTGTATCTTTTGACCCCACAAGATTCTTGCTGAACTCAACCAATCAGACCCAGGACAGAGCCTAAGTTGGGGGCCTAATTCAGAGGAGGGCTCGGAGGAGCCTGATTCAGGTTTGGTCAAGGAGAGATTTTGTCAACACCCAGACCCCTATCGAGATGCAGGCAGTGGGGCTCTTGGGGCCGTCAGTCCACCAGGCTCCAAGGCTGGATACAGCCCTCGGGGCTCAGTGCGGGGCCATGCTGTCTGGGAGCTGCATGGGCTGACAGTTGTCGGAACTGGGAGGCTCCTTATGCCTTCACCGCCTGCCCTGCCTCTGCTGGAACCCTGTCTCGGTGTGACTTCAGCGGACTGAGTTTCACTAGGCTGCCATTTTCCTCCTCCTCTGTGAGCCCTCCATGTCTCACTCATCTTTGTTTTCTGGTGCTTGGCTCACTGGGGTCTCTGGCAGCACCGAAGTTGGGGGTGAGGTGGGGATTAACAAAGCACAGTGCTGTGTTGTACCGAAGAGTCAGTTTTGTGAAAAGCATGGCCTGTGAGGAGCCTTGGGGGAGGGGTTTTGGTTGGGCAGAGAGGACAGGGCAGGGGCTGCATGTAGCGGGGACAACCTGGGCACAGGGAACATGCTGGAGGGAGTGCAGCCCAGTGGGGAGGTCAGTGTGGCTGGCACAATGGTTCTAGAAGCATCTGCCTCAGGATGGCCAGGAGGGCTGCTTCGAAACAGGTTGCTCGGGCTCCATTGCCAGTTTCTGAGTCAGTGGATCTGGAGTGGGGCCGCAAGGCTCATTTCTAGTAAGTTCCCAGGTGCTGCTGTGGCTGCTGGTTTGGGGACCAAACTTTGAGAAGCATGGGGCTGGGGAGTAGTAGGCAGTAAGGCTGGGTCATGGGGTGAGGCTGAGAGCCCGATGGGGGAGTTTGTCTCCCGACTCAACAGCAGTGAGGAGCTACTGTAGAGTCTTGTGCAGCTGAAAGGATGAAGGAGGAATTGCTACTTTGCCAAAATGATCCAGAAAGGGAGAAAGGCGGGAGGTAGGGTGGTCTTGGCCATGATAACCAGGCAGGGGGTAAAGAGGACCACAGACATCCCCAGGGCATGACAAACGGAGGAAGCCATTCTGAACACTGAACTTGGGGACCCCTCTTGCTTCAGAGGCAGCAGCTGGGGAGTGACTTGGGAGAGCAGTTGCAGAGAAAAAGTACCCCTGCACCTTCCCTGGGAGGCTGAAGGCTGATGACCTCCTGCCTCAGGTGGCCCCAATGTTTATTTTAAGTGGGTTTCTCTACCTTAAAAAGCATAGTGCATTTACAACAACATGGATGGACCTCGAGGGCATTATTCTAAATGAAATAAGTCAGACAGAGAAAGACAAATACTGGATGATTTCACTTACTTGTGGAATCTACAAAAGAAAAGAAAAGAAAAAAAAAAAACAAGAACCATACTCTTAGAAAAATAGATCAGATTTGCGGTTATCAGAGGCAGGTGGTCACAAAGTACAAACTTCCGTTTATAAGACAGATAAGTCCTAAAGATGGGTGTACGACATGGTGATTATAGCTAACACTGTTCTATGGTGTGTTTGAAAGTTTCTAAGAGAGCAGATCTTAAAAGTTCTCATCACAAGGCAAAAACTTTTTTCTCTTTTTTGTTTTGTTTCTCAATTAAAAAAAAAAACCCATAGCGGCCTCTTGTATCTCCATAAGAAACCCAAAAGTTACTGGAGAGAATATCCAAAATTTACTTATTTTTTTTTAAATTAAACTTCTTATTTTCAGCTAATTATTGATTCACATGCAGTTGTAAAAAAAAATACAAATCTATGTAGCCTTTACCCAGTTTCCCTCAGTTGGTAACATTGTACAAAACCATCCTCAACTATCACAGCCAGGAAATTGACATTAAAACCATCTACTGATCTTTCTATGTGTACTTAGTTGTTTGCATCTTAAAAAATCATAGTGGGGTTCCATATAGACCCCCTACCTAAGACCCCCTCCCTAAGATGACTTTGGGGTGTCAGTGGGAATGGACGGTTAAGAGTGATGGGAGAAAGATTTTGAAAGAAGAGTGACACCCTCTCTTCCCTGTAGCTTTGGGCTTCAGGGGACTTTCCAGGTCGGAGGACCCTATGGAGACACTAGGCGTTGCTGTCTTGACTCCAGCTGTGGACTCCTTACCCTGGAGGTGGATTTGAAACATGTGTAATGAAATCTTGGGGCCAAGCCCAGAGTGCATCTTCTGGGCTCAGGGAGGCAAGCGTCATGTTGGACAAGTCCCCTTCCCTCACTTACACCCCACTCTGGACCCCTCCCCGCTCAGGGCAGGCCTTGCAGGCAGGGGAACTCAGACTGTCACTGTTACTTCCTCCAGGAAGCCCCCTGACCCCGCTGGCCCTGTCCAGCCCTGGGCTCATCCACTTGCGGGGACTGGTTGTTCTCCATGCCCAGCACGAGGTCGCTCTGCCCCCAGCAGGAAACGGAAGTGTAGAAAGAGCCACACTTGTGGTTAGAAAGCCGTGTGCCAGTCTGGGCTCCCCTGGTCACGGAGTGTCCTTAGGGAACTGTGCCTGTGTCCCCAACTTCCCCTTCCTCATTTTTAAGATGGGGATACTGTGAGGATCAAGGGAGAGAAATCATTGACAGGAGTGCAGGATTACCCCCATCTTAGTGATAGAAAGCAGCTGCCTTAACACAGGGTGTCCACTTGTTGGGTGTGAACATGGCGGGGCAAGGAGCTGCAGGGTCCTGAGGGGCCGTTTCTGTCAAGGTCAGGGGGACATTAGTCCTCCTTCCCTGGTGCATCGCTTGGGTTTATGTCCAAGGCCTGGCCTTTTCTGCCCATCCTTTTCGGGGTTTCGGGGGCCAAGGAGAAACTGCACGGCTGTGTTAGGCCTCTCTGTTTCA